TTTGGTGCACTTGAATTATTTTAGATGGCACTGCTGCACTGACATTTCCACAGAGTGCAGCAGAAACCTGCAAACAAGTAAACTGGAGCTGCCCCAAAACATCCATCCCTCTGCAATATTTGCATTGAAGGCAGAGAAGGTGAAACGAAACTCAGCAAGATGAAGTGAAGGCCCTTTGCATAAAGGTGTGAAATATACCAGTTTCAAACCCTCTGTTAATGCACAGGCTCGGAGCAGTTCTTCAGGAGGCCCTGATGGCAATAAGAAACTGAAAGAAAGAACAAAGAACTTCCCATCTTGTCCCCATTAAGGGATCACTGTTACACCTACATGATTTTGTCAATAATTTTGAAATAGAAGAGCATCTACTTTCTTCTAAATTCACATGCAATAATACACAACAGGTTTTAGTTGGAGTTTTTTGGGTATTTTTTGTGTGCRTGTGTRTAATGGTGCAGATAAATCACTAAGTTTAGATGCTGGAAGCAACCACTTTGGAAGACATTTGGTTACATGATGTCATCAAACTTAGCAGCAGAACCCACAACCATCCTGAGAAAGCCAATAAAGAATGAAAACCAAAGCAAAATGTTATTTTCTAAAGCATAAATTAAAATGTTCAAAGTAACTGCTTCTCTCCATGCTCTCCTTTCTACTCAGCTACAAGTAAAACAGGATTTGGGGATCTGCTGAAGCCTGAAACCAGACGTGTGTGAAACAACCGGTTATTAAATACCACATTTAGAATTTAAGCCTGTGAATAAAGACACACTGAGCACCAACTTATCCCCGCTCGTTTAGCGGTGTAATTTTTATTGCGAAGGTTTTTCCTCTTGTCAGGTAATTGTTCGCTGCAAGGTAGCAGCCAGTGTAACAGGACAGCATGAGACACCTTTTGTTCCTGAGAAAAACCTCAGCAAAGCCGCGCACAACCGGTGCCCTCCTCTCGGCCCGGCTGCTGTCAGCACCGGCTTCTCTGCCGCTTTACAGCACAGCCCCGGCTGTGGCGTGGCCATCCCCGCCGGGGAGCTGCCGCGGGACCCCCGCCCGGCGCGCCGCCTTTGTGCGCCCCCGGGGCGGGGCGGGGCGGGGCGGGGCGGGGCGGGGCGGGCGGACAATGCGCGTCTGTGCGGGGCCGCGCCGATTGGGCCAGCGCCGCCCGTGCCCATGATGTCATGGGGATGGAATGCRCCGCGCGGGGGGCCCGAGCCGCGCAGCGCCCGCGTATGGAGCGAATCCCGCACGGAGCATCGCCAACAGAGCGAGCCCCGCACAGAGCACCGCGCACGGAGCCCCGCTCGGGGACCGCCCGCGCCCTGCCCGGCTCGGCCTCGCCGCGCCACCCCTGCCCGCCGCCCCGCTCCGCTCCGCCGTGGGACGGCTGCGGGCCCCGGCGSCGCGCCCCGCTCGATCCCGGCGGGAGGAGAAGGGACGGGCGGGATGTCCCATGCCAGGGCTGCCGGCACGGGCAGGTGCAGTCCGGGCGACCGCGCGAATCGCGGCTCCGCGCACGGACCCGCCCGGCGCTGACAGCTCTCTGTGCCCACGAGTTTCCCGAGCGGTGCCGCGAAGGACAGCGCCGTCCCGGGCCGGCGGCGGGCGCATCCTTGCGCGCTTCCACCGCGCGGGGCGGGCGGGATCCCCGCCGGCAGCCGGAGGCGGCGGAGCCYCGCGTCGCGTCGCGCCTCGTCCCGTCCCACCCCGCCGTCCCGGCGGAGACAAAGCCCGGCGARCCCCGCGCCGCCCATACCTTGTTCTTGACCTCGGCGGAGAGCCCGTAGGAGGGCCCCTTGTTGAAGTGGGTCATCTCGGCGGTCTGCCGCGCTCCGGGGGCGCTGGTCGCAGGCGCTGGCGGCTCCGGGCTGAGACGAGAGTCCGCCCGCGGCCGCGGAAAGTTCTAGTCCCTCCCCCCCGGGCCGGCCCCCGGCCGCCGGAGCCGCGGCGCGCCAATCGGGGCTCGGGGCCGGGGCAGCCCCCCCGGCGGCCGGGGAGGGGGCGCGGGGCCGCGGGGAGGAGCGCCCGCCCCGCCCGGGCCCGCCCCGCCCAACGCCGGGCGCCGCCTGGGGGTCCGGCCGGGGCGGGGAGCGCGGCGGAGCGGGGGGACGTCAGCGGGAAGGAATCCGCGGGCACCGAGGGCCGCCGCCGCGGAATGCACCGCCGCCGCGGATCGCCCCGGCCCCGGGGAGCGGGAGGGGGGGCTCGGCGAGGGACCCGGGGCCTTCCCAKCCCGGTCAGCGAACTGCCACACGCGGTGGGAAGCCCCCGCCGGACCGGGATGACGGCCCTGAGGACAGGGAAGCCGGGAGGACGGCGGTGGCTCCGCGCTCGGGGCGATGCTTGCCCTCGGGCCCTTCCCGGACAGGAGGGCTCGGGGAGCCCGGGCTGAGGGGAACGGCCGCGGGCAGRGCTGGATGCTGGGAAACCCTGGGCCGTTCGTGCAAACCGCTCTCTTGCGCTGTGCCGCGGCCTGAGCTGCTTGTGAAATTCCTTTGAAAGGTTACAGAGTATCAGCAAACTTGGAAAAACCCTGGGAGATGGCGCGAGAGGGAGAAAAGACGCGCACAAGTCGTCAAAGTGAGATTGAAGTGCAGCGGSACGACGGGCTCACTCTTGTCTCGATCTCAGAGTTCCTGTGCACMGTGTGATCCGGGCACGGATCCTGCGGGAGCGGGCACCTCCGCATTTTGGTGCGGGTCACTCCTTCCCTCGGTGAAGGCACCGAGGGACAGCACTGGGGAGAGTGGCGGGGCTGCTGTGCCGTGGGGTGCCGGCCCTCTGTGGAATGCWCAGGGCACACACAGCAGGGGCTTTGCGTGCTGGGATGGCCAGCGGGATTGCGGGATTGCACCCATCCGGCCCGGGGAGCGCTCCCTCCTGCAGCCTGCCGTGCACTGCAGCCGCTCTGGARAGCGAGAGCGCGGGGAACACTTGGTCTGTTTCATTCAGTGCTAGAATAACCCTAGGCGCGCAAAGTAACCTTTCAAATACGGTTAAATTTTAACAAATTAGAAAATAAAAATCATAGCATGGTCTGCTGGTAGGGCTAGGTGGATAAGGCACAGCAGTAAGGCTGGCTGCTGGAGCTGTGGCCCGGTTAGCCACCTACTTGGTATCCCACAGAAAGAACAGGTCTGTGCTGCGATTTCATAGCAAAATATCAGCACTGAGTGGTCTAACGCCGGCTGAAACCAACGGGGCTCTTTCAAAAGACTTGTGGTGGGGCTGTAACAGTCCTGAGGAACTCACAGGGCAGCCAGGAGGTTGTTTCATACTGTGGTGCTGTGGATCAGCTCAGCTCAAACCGCTTCTCCACGGCTCTGCCTCTAAGGAAAACAGCCAGGGCTGGTCCTAATTAAAGGAAGCAGAGCTGCCTGAAGAACCCATTGGGAAAAGGAAACTGTGCAAGAGAAGCAGGAAACTGAAGAATGGGGTGAGGGAAATGGCAGTTCACGTAAACATAATGAAAGTTCATTAGTTTTTAGACATTCATGTTGGGATAAACTCRTCTTTCATGAGCTCAGAGAGCATGTGATTTAGGGCTAGATTTAACATCCAAAGTCCTTGGAAATGTTTCCATTGACTTAAGTAATGTTGGATCAGGACACTATTTGTTAATGCTCTCAATCATTTTTGCTGCGATACACAGTGGCTTGGGAAGTTTGAGACATTTACGGTTTGTATGCTTTTCTCAGCTCCATAAATTATATGTTTCATCAATTTTGGAATAAAATGGTCCTGATTAATAGCAGACAAAAATATGGCCTACTATTTTCTTACTGTACAATCAGGTTTAAATTATCCTCAAGTAAATCGTGTCGTTTGTGGAGGTTTTGCCTCATCTGAGCAGGGCACAAATACCATTTGTTGTTTTTATACTGATTCTGACCATCTGATAAGAAAACTACCAATCTTTTGCGGTGATTACTGCCTTTAATTCTKTGATCAGTAATATGCTCACACCCTGGGGGAAGAAGTTGTACAAGAAATATTTGAGTATAGTTAAAAACACATTCTGTTTTGCATCACTCTGACAATACAAAGCAAATTTAAGCCCATCAGTGCACTGCAAAGCAGCTGGAGCATACTGGGCAATCTGGCTCATTATGGGTAAATCTCTTATCTTTGCCCTATTTTTCCACATTTCTTATTACTAAGGCTGTTTGTATGGAAAGAGGATTTGTGCAAGAATTATTCCCCACCTGAAATCATAATCTTCTTTGTGACATTGTAATAACTTCTTCAGCCACCACATGTAATATCATAAACACGCACTGATTACTTCAGTTGGAAACTAGAGAAAAAGAGCTCTGAAGAGACTAAGTTTGTTTTCTTGGAAACATGGACCATAATCTTACAAATATTCTTGCACATGAATTATTATAAGCATATGTGTAGTCCTGTTAAACTCCCTGAGTTTAAATTATCCTGTGCGTAATTCCACCATAATCTGTAGAATTAATGTGGCTCARTCAAACTATCAAAACCACATTGGATTTCTGTGTTGTGCTCAATGACTGAAGATGTGCAAGGGGATGACTGGGGAGTCCAATGGTGGAGTTGAGCCCAGTGGTCTCTGCGGTGGGGCATTGTCTCCTTCCTACACATCTGATCCTGATAAAGGGCCTTGGTTTAGGCAGCTCCCTCAGCTGAGGAGGAGTGGGATGATCTCCCTGAAGAATGAARGGAGTTCATTTGGGAGAGCTCAAATGTGTGCAGGAAGATAATTTTGAGCTTTGCTGAGTGGTGTGGCTGGTCTGAGGGAAAGGAAGAGGATTCTGAAATTGGGAGAGTGATGGTATCAGCCATGGGATGAAGAAATACACCACTSTGTGTGTTTGTGGTCATGGGTGTGATTTTTGCCTGCAGCAGAGGAGTGAATTCCTGGCGGGAAGGTGGGATCTGCAGAGTTTGGGAGTGCTGGAGAGCAGGGAGAATCACAGCAGGAGTTAGGCTACCTCAGCACAGCAGAAGGTGGCTCTGGGGAGGGTCCCACACTGGGATGCCCTCCATGGCCCGCAGGTCACTGTGGGGGCTGGCTAAAGCCAGGGCTAGCTAAAGCCAGGCTAGCTAAAGCCAGGCTAGCTAAAGCCAGGCTAGCTAAAGCCAGGGCTAGCTAAAGCCAGGGCTAGCTAAAGCCAGGGCTGGCCAAGGCTGCTGCTGAGACAAAGGGGAGGACACTCAGGCACTTCTGAATTACAGCTCTGCTGTCTCCTAAGGATTGAGGTGAGCGAATGCCCTGACCTGGTGAGGCCAAGGAAGGCTGTGCTGCTCTCTTCCCCTCTGGTGTGCCTCAGCAAGCGGTGAGGAGCTAACCCAGGCCTTTTRCAATTCTCTGGACTTTGGGGTCCTTCCCAGGCTGCCGTGTCAGCTCTGCTCTCAGAGYTGTGAAATGGCCTGTCCAGGGCGGACGTGACACTAACACTCAGTAATGTTTTAGCCTAATTAACTTCTGTGACTAAAGTTATTAAAATTGCTGTAGGATAAATACAACTTGTGACTCCAGTAAGACTTGAATCTTACTGATGGTTAAGACCAAACATTAGCAGTAGCATTGAAACTGCAAAATACAAACTCCACAGAACAGCTTTAGTATCATCTAAAACTGTTCTTAATCTTTCATTTATTAGGATTCCTTCTCAAAATAATGCATGTCCTAGGTAAGCTGATATAATGTTTATTCATATGTTACCTCAAGTRCCTACTTTGAAACACTGCTGTGCTTATACTGCTAATGACTTTGGAACATTCTGGGGTTATCAGCATTGCCCTTGGTACCTGRTTAAACATGCCATGCTGTCTGTGTGCTCCATTGCCTCTCAACTACTGTAGCAGACCATTCTCATCCCATGAGAGACCCTCTTGCCTTGCAGAACAATTGCAGGCACTGAGAGGTGTTTGGAGCCCACTCCTCCTTCCTCTGTACCAGACTACAGAAGACAGCATTTTCTTGACAGTCATTAATTCTACCTAGAAATAGCTTGAGAGTGTCTTAAAATCAACATCTGGAAAAACTAACTACAGAGACTTCTTTCAAATACCACAAAGTAAAGCATGGGGCCAAATTCAGCCTTGATGGAATTATTATCTGATATCTGTGTTCTGTATTTTCCCTACATTGCTTGAGTAAATTCCCATATATGGAGATGTTTTCTGAGATGCACATGATGCCAAAATGCTCAGAGAATTGCATAGGACCAAACCTAAAATAATGAAGTAAGAAAAAAAAAGGAAATTCAAACACAGACTTTACTTGAAAGTGTGTGGTGGTGGAAATCCCTCATTTGAGGAGGGATTTTAAGCATCAGTTCTGACAATTGTAATAGTGGGAGTCCAGGTCTTAATTTTGGGAAAGACTCCCCTTCGTTACTAATTTTTAAGGACATTAATGTTGCTCATGTTTATGATAAAGTAATTTGCTGAAGGGAAAGACTTATCTRCTTGTTTGTATTTTTAGAGATTAAGCTTTATTTAAACCAAAACAATAGATTCCATTCATTAAAATATGTAAATGTTCCTTAGATTACCATCACTTTTTCACTGATTCTAATACTGATGTAATCTTCTGTCCCCCATACTTCTATGAGAATAGGGGGGTTTTGTTACCTGGTGGTGCTAGCTGTTCATAAATAAGCATAAAGCAGACTTTTCTGCTTTTTGATTTTTATTTGAGGCYCATGACCTTCTCTAAAAATGTGATAGCTGCAATCTTATCAGTAGGGTTATAGCTAGAAGAATAGTTGAAYGCTGAAGTACATTCCATGCTAGTACAGAAAAAAAAAAATATAATTTACCTGTGACCTTATTACTGTTGAGAGTCCTGTGTTGTTATGTGCCCCTCCSTGCCTGGGTGAAAGGTTTGCTGCTGGTGCTGGTTTTTAACTTGCTGAAACCAGTACAAAGCAGAAGGCACCCAAGAACTTCAGATTGCTGGCTTCAAATTGCTTTCACAATTCTGTTCCTCAAGCACAGGAGCAGCACTCTGTTGGCTGGCACAGGTGGGTCACAGTGCCCTTTCTCCCTGTTCTTTGGTGGCTTTGCTTCTCCGTGTGGGACCAAAACACCTGCAGACAGATGCCACCAGCACACAGGTGCTGAAGTGTTTGACTCTGTGTTAACAGTTTTATTCCATCAGTTTTATTTCACGATGATGTTTACCTACAGCAAAACACACAAAGGAAATGCCTGCAGGGACAGTTTGTGTTGCCAGAACTGCTCCCAGCGAGGAAGACAAGGCTTTTTGTGTCTTTCCTCTTTGTTCTATTTCATGTGTGTGAAGAAAAAATCCAACTCAGCTCTTGTATCTCTACTTAAGTCGTACTTTGGTAGGAAAATAATTGGCTCTGTATATTTGTGCTGCTTGTAAACACTAGACCTCTTGAAATGGTGGCCTTTTCCTTCTTCATTATTCTGATTCTGGTGGCTCTACTTAAAACTTCCCATCATTCTCACTGCAGCTCCCAAAGTTCACGGAACCAGCACACAGCAGAATTTTCTTCCCTGGGGCAGAGGAATGAGCCACAGAGGMTGAGCACGGCCTCACCTTCTGCCAAAACTGTGTTTGAGCTGTGGTTCTGTGATGACAGAGAGAAATGCCAAGTGGTCTCCACACGAGCTGCTGCTCCAGGAGCCGAGGGAGCGCCCCAAGCCACAGGCACCTCTGCCCTGCTGGGAAGGGGCTGCTGCCTGACTGCCTCAAAATTATAAACTCTGAATATTGAGGAAGTGTTCCACTCTTCCTAAACTCTGAGTGGATGCAAACTTTAATAACAGAACACATTAATTCTAATGCAAAATTACTTGGATGCCTGAAAATTCCCTTATTTTTCTATTAAGCTTCATGAGTCAGTTTTGCCCTCTCTTTTGGAGGGGATAGCTCTACTAGGGAATCAAAGAAAGAGAGAAAATTGTAACTTTGTGGTGTTTTGTGCTTCTGTAATTCTTGGCTTCTAGCTACCACTTTAAATTTCCATATATACATACACAAGATACATTTTCACATGTATAGTTTGAAGGAGCAATTTCTGTCTCTCCAGGATGCAGAAGTTCTAACATTTACCATGTGACTGATGCCTGCTCAGCATGATCTGAGATTGATTTCAACACTTTATCTCCCTTCCTGAACCTCCAAACTTGATTTTTATGGCACTTGAGCACATTCTCCTTGCTTTTATTTTAGTGCAGCTCTTAACAGGCCTGGACAAATGCACGCCTTTCAAGGACTGTTGTGTGTGTTCCACCATATTTTTGCTTCATTCTCAATTGTGCTCCGATAATAACCTCACAAGAAAATTTATTTTAAATAGTATATGGTAACTTTCTTCGTGCAACTTCATGCTGCATTATTCAAATTTATTTGTTTGGATGCCAAACACAAAATAATTACAACAGTTGACTTGTGAACGAATCAGTTATTTGACGGTTAAAGTTTTCATGCTCACTCATGGGAACAAGATTATGCTTGAACAGTGCTGATATTTTAAAAAGTTTATTAATTARCCAGTAATAATAATCCTAATCTAGATTTAATAATCAAAATCTTAATATAGAAAAAAAAGGAATAAGCCCCTTCTCCTTGCTGCTTAATTCCATTACTTCTCCAATTTTAGTTAACTAGGCAGTATTTTGCAAATGAGAGTAATTCCTTGTCAGAAATATTTTCTACCTCTGACATGGTAGTCGTACAATCTTGAGAAAATGTGCTTGGTTGGTTTTGCCTCTCTTTTACCTTTATTTYATTATCCTCCTATGAAATCTCATAGTAAAGATATACTTGGAAATTAAGATAATTTCAARGGCAAAACAATACATAGCAAGTGATCCTCAGAGTGCTTTATCGGGTAATTTGGGACTGAAACGGTGAAAGAAGCAAAGACTGCTGAGTGTTGCACATGAGTGACTAGCTGAGACACGGTGGCATTTAGCCAGAGTTGGCTACCATGGCATGGAAACTCAGTTATTACAATAGTTTGGATCCCAAATCTGTTTGAATAAGAGAGGTTTCAAATAATCCATGTCACTGTTAATGTACTCCAGTACATGTCAGAGGATGTGATTCAGACTTGGGGGGAGAGAAGGGAATTAGGAATCGCTGATGCTCAGATAACYGAGACTGCACCAGAATACAGAATGCTGAGGTTTTTAGCCACTTTATCCCAGATCATTAATCTTGTCCATTTTATGCTCGCATTGCATCCCRCAAAACTTCATAATTTCCAGAAGATGTTGAGTGTGGGGTTTTTTTGATGGTTTGGGGTTATGTGTTCTTTTTTGTTTGGTTGAGTTGGTTTGGGGGTTTTTTTTCCTTGTTTATTTTGGCTTTGTGTTTTTTGGTGCTATGGAGAAGTAGTTTTTTCCCCCTTCTTTTTCGTTTTTTTTTTTTTTTTCCTCCCAAACTGAAACCAAGTTTTAATACATAAAACAATTATTTGCTAAAGTTTTTATGCAAGTAATACCTATTTTTTGAAACCCAGTGACATCATTATGAAGCACTTAGGGTGTGCTAGGTGTGCTTGCTCAGTTGTAAATTCAGCATTGGGGGTGGTTCAGTTCTGTGTCTGCAGTTCCCACATGTGGTGACCCATCTCCAAAAAGGGCTGTGGGATGGAGTGGAAAGTCCTGGTAATGTTTACTTGTAAACACAAAGGACAATTCTGGTCATGGAGGTTAAAACTGTAAGAAAACAGATACAAAATGAAGTTGTGTCTGAATTCTATAATAATCTTTCTTCAGAGGAAAAGCTTGGCAAAGGGGCACATAGAAATGTTGATTACACACAGCACAGGGCTGAACTGTGTAAATTCAGTCTAACCAGTGTAAAATCTAAATTGCTTTGTGGGAATGTTCTGAATCTTCAGTAAACCTGAAAGAACTTGGGGCGGCTGGGAGGTGTGTTAGGGGAGCAAGGCAGCAGAAATAATTTATCTCCTCTCAGAATTACCTGTTTAATCTTTGCAAAGTAATACTTTGCATGGAAGCAGCTCTCTCTGTATTTCCTCAGCCTTTCTTTTTCACCCCCAACGTTATTAAAGGAAAAAGTTAGATAAAGATTTTCATGAATTATCTCTAGTCTGGAGATTAATGAAAATATGTTTAGAATTGGGATGTGCTCTGAGACAATTACCTTTTTTTGTCAGTAGTCATCACCTGTCTGGAAGTGACGGAAGAGTGGAAGTCCTTTCACCAATAATTTTTGAAGGTATTTATTTGGTATGTAACTCCACTGAAAAATCTGGCTTAGTGTACCCTATAATAAAGTTACTTTTTGAAGGAACTATTACAAGAATTAATGCAGAGCTGCTAAGCTATCACTTAAGTGCTTTTTTACAAACACAGCTACATTGCTTTTAATATTCTGCCTTTCTGTGTGGATATAAAAAGCACATTTAACTGTAATTCCCAGCTGTCAYGCTTGCTTTTTTACAAATGGGTGCCTGCAAAAACAGGCCCTGTTTACTGCTGCTGAATAATAATTTCTGGATTTCATCTTGGCAGTGAATGTTGGGGAGATATCCTTTAAGCCACTGAATTGGAGGTTAGGACATTCATTTCAGTGTCAGCTGACATCCCAAGCTGGATCACAAATGAAAAGCAGCAGAGTTCAATTGCAGTGTTTAACAATAAAGCAGGAAACTCTAATTGCCAAGCTGCTGGCAGCTGAGAGTAGAACTTGCAGTAATGCTAACTGAGCAGATCTGATTTGATATAGCATTACAAATATCCACCCTTTCTTAAACCAGCTAGAGGGGTTTTGATTTTGAGAACCTACTGTGCACCATGTAAAGGCAGCACAAACAGGATTTGATGGAGACACCAGCACTGGGTATGCAATGTGCTTGAACAACCCTGAAGACMTCTACCAAGGGTCTGTCAGAACCCTTCACTTCCATCAAGAAAATGTAAGAGACGCAGTAAGAGAGATGTAAGAGAGAAAGGGTGGCAGTGAATCTTTCATGCTACTTGCCAAGGACTGAGGCGTGGGGCACAAATGTCTRCAAGTGGATTGTGCCACTTGGTGCTGAACAAAATAAAGGTTTTGGTGCAAGTGCTGCTCTCTGACTCCCTCTGAGCCATTCTCCCCTCCCACTCTCTCTCTGTCCCAGGGAAGCTGGTGCTGCTTGGATGCAGTCTATGACAGCACCCTGCTAAACTCATTCTAGTGAAAAAGAGGATGGAAAAGGTGGTCACTTTGGGTCTATTCATGCTCTGGGGCCCCTTGGACAGATTTAAGAGGATCTTCTTGCTCTGCAAACATGACTTGCATTTGTATGTTTAAAATGGTCTCTGTTCTATCTGTATACAGGAATCTTTTGTTTCCAAGCATTAACTGTCCTGTGTTATGACAGGGTGTTTTTACAAGGAAAAACAGGTGTCCAAAGAATTGTGTGAGTACGAGTTCTGCAGTTGTTTTTGAGACTTTGACTACTGTTCCCAGAAATCCTTAATGTCTTGCAAAATATAACAGAACAGCATAACTTTATTGGAATGGTCATGGCTGAGTTGTAAAAATTTGAACCATTGGCTGAAAGCAGATCTATCTGTTTAGCTTTTTTTTCTGGTATAACGTGGAAACAATCTTTTAAGCAGTTTTTATCAAGAATCAGCCTTTTTCTTATATAGTTATTTTATTACATTCTAACTGGTGCTCCTCTTTTAACTTCCCCTCCTCCTTTCCTAGAATAAAATTAACCTGTCGTTAAAGGTAAATTATATACTCTGCAGTAGGAGAAAACCAGGTCAAAAGAGAGACAACTCTGAATATTTAATATTTGTCAACTAATGCATATCTAGATAAAACAATCTGATAACTAAAACTCATTTAGAATTTGGCTTCTGTGCTAGGACCCAGGGAAAGAATTTCTGGATGCTTTCTGTTCTCTTTGAAAATCTTTGCCAATTTTGATGATGATATTTCCATAAAGTCATATTTGTTTTCTTTAAGAAYGCATTTCTTCCTCATTTTGCCTTAAATCTATAAGGTATTATGGTTTTCTCTTTTGGAAATGAAGAATAAAAGAGGTAATGTATTTCACATCAAACATTTCTTGTATGTAATGCAAATGTGTTTACCATAATACTAATATTTAAGAGAAAAAATGAGCCATAACAAAGCCCTAGAATCTAAACTTATGGAATCCAGTCAGTGACCCTTAAGTCTTTGGCTAGACCCTGGGAGGGCTGTTTTCTACTCTGTKCTGGGAGAGGAAGAATGCAGTTTTCCCCTAGAACAATAGACTGTTTGGTTGTACCCACCTTCTAAAAACAAAAGATAAGAAAGAGCTTCTCAATAACAAAATGCTAGTTTACTTCAGCTCCATTGTGCTTTTGGAGAGAACTAGCAGTTATTTGAGATAATCTTTTCAAGGAAAAGTCACTCTGGATGATAACAAAACTTCCTTTAAGRGAATTTGAGCCAGAAGCCTTTTTTCTGAACTGTCTCCTGAGACTGAGATGCAGTGTTTTGCTGAAGGCTTTGGTCAGTTTGGCTGTGATCTTCCCATTTCTCAGCTCTCCAGAGCAGCTCTACCTGCTTCAGCTCTACAGACCTCTGGGTCGTTTCTAATCCAAGTTTTCCCTCACTACAATTAATTCAGCTCTACAGACCTCTGGGTCATTTCTAATCCAAGTTTTCCCTCACTACAACTAATTACAAACTGCTGAAAAGTAAATACCCTTAACTCAAGAAGGCGCTTGAGCCAGAGAGGAAAATAGCAGTACCAGGGAATGGGTCCCATTCCACACTTTCAMAGCCAACCATCTGCATTAAAACCCACTTTATATGTGCTATTTTAACCTGGTTTTCCCAGACTGATTAAAGAACACGTTGTTGGAGGCACACAGGCAGAGATTCTTGCTCCCCCAGAAGGCTGGCAGTGAAGAAAAGTGGGAAAAGTTATCCCAACTCCTTGAAAATCAGACTCCTCCACATCAGATGGCCGGGAGCAATTCTGTTTTCAGGACAGCCTCTTGTGAAGAAATCTACTGTTACCTCCAGAGTGTTTACATGGGAGGCCACAAGTCTGAACAGGCAGTCATTGCCATGCTGGGGACAGGTAAAGAAAATCCCTGGAACTCCGCAGTGTTCAAAGGCAGACTCACAAAGTTTATGAACCCACAGTTGGAAAGCACACCAAAACCCCAAATCCTGCCCTGGGCAGRGCTCTGAGGGAGCAGCAGAGCAGCCAGAGATGCTTTCACTGAGGTGCAAATCCCGAGCAGGACGAGGACGAGCTGCCCTCTGCTCTGCTCTGAGCTCAGCGCTGTTTGTGCAGGGCTCTGCAGCCCCACTGGGGCAGGGATGTGCTGCATCAATGGAAGCATTCACTGCCTTTCCTGCTCYTCTAAAGCTCAGGGCACTGATCCTGTGCTGCTGCCCCTTACCCAGAGCAGAGGGAGAGGCTGCCTCTGTCCTCTTCCCCTCTACTCCAGTTCCCCGCTSAACAGAAGGGTTCAGGAGAGAAAGCACTGACCTAAAATAAACTACCATTAGCCATAATAAATTCCAGTGTATCTCCAGTTTATCAAACATCTGCAACGGCGCAGAAAGTCATGATAAGATAGTCCTCACTCCAGTTCAGTGGAAAAAAAGTCCTTGGACACCTCAGATTCACTTCAGCCAAGTCATTTTCAAGGACTTCAGTATGTGCTGCACAAAGTCCTTCTCATATAGCCTTAACCTATTAACTGCTCTTTAATTTCAGACATAATCTCAGTTAAAACCCACAAAAACTCCCTGTGCTGAACTCACATGTGACCACATCAAGGGACTCTATTTATGCTGAGGATTATTAAGCCTGTTGGACAGGTTACAACAGCAGCTTCCCCACAGGGCCTTGCAGTATCATGACAGTAGTTTTCTGCACTAAGTTTTTGATGATTTCTAATTATTTTCTGCATAAAGCAGATTATTCCTCTGGACCCTGGTTTCCAAAAGCAGGAGCCACTGTTTCTGTTCAGCTAAATTCCACCCCCATTCCCTAGCAGAATAGCTGCTGCARTGTTTTGATATCTGACACTGAAGAAAAGGCTTCTGAGAGACTCTCCTCTTGGCTTCACCAGAGGCAGCCTGTGCACTCTGGAGGGCGTTTCTACTCCTCTCTGAGCTTTTTTCTTTGTTTATGTTTCTGTAGCCAGCYCCAAAGCTTTGTGTGTGTGCAGATGACAGATGTGTTTATATTGCTTTATAGGTGGGATAGCTGTAGAATTTTGTTTTGCCAGATGAGTATGAAATGCTGGAGTATTCTTCCACATACTCACTGCCAACCAAATACCTTAAAAAAGTTGTTCCAATGTAAAGGACAGCATTTTTCATGGCAAAGTCTTAAGTGCATTTTGTACTGATGGAAGTAAGGTGCTTAAAATGAGAAAACAGGACACACTGATAATCAAATTCACTGTACCAGGAAAAGAGGGAAATGGTCTTCCTTCCCTTATTACTGATTTTTTTTTCCTCTATTTTAGAGCTTGAACCAGTTCAATTTCCCCAACTGACAGTTTTGCTCTGTTTGATGTAGATTCTTAAGGCTTTTTGTGCACAAGCTTTGAAAAAAAGCACTTCTTAAATTGGTAAGTATTGTGCCTGTGGCATGACACTTGTCACCTCTTTATTTATCTTAAGAAGTGAGCAACAATTTTCTAAAGGTGCACAACAGATTATAAGGACAGCTTTGACAAGACCAGAGGAAAAATGATACTGGTTTAATGCTCKGGGGGTTTGGAAGACTGTAAAGTACAAACTGTCATGAAGCCAACTTAATATAACTGTTTCCTTTATACTCTGAGGATTCACAAGGGACTTCACTGCTAGCATAAAGGAAATAAAGTCTGTTGTGCCAGAAAAAGACTTTGTTGCTTACAATTTTAAAAATGACACAAAGTTTCCTTACAGGAAATGTTACATTCATACAAATTCCCATATTTATTTGTAGGCAAAAATTACCATTCGCATAGCAGGAAAACGAGATGGAAACAGACACAGCATAGGCTTGGAATCACTATGGGTTATTGGTGAACAAACCTACATGATACCAATAAATACCAGTACACAAAAATTTTACTTAAATGTTGAGAAACCTTTGTTGTCTCATTTTTCAGTACCAGCCTAATCTCTTACAGGAATTGTTGAAAATAAATCCCTACAGGAATGTGAGTGAGGAGCTTGCTTGCAGAGTCTATTTTAGGTAAAGCTCAGCTTGTCTTCTGCTGTTACACTACTCGACCAAGATACACTGACTTGGGATATTTTTTCTTTAGATCAGGCCACTGAACAATGAAATAATCTGAAAAGTAGTAAAGAATCTTTCCAGACAGGGATAAAGTTTCCACACGGCAGATGCTCTCTACATACACAATGATTGTTCTTTTTATTCGTAGGAGGCCAAGAAGAAAAGCAGATACACAGATAGGAACACAAGTTCCTGGTCCATTGCATAATATCTGAAAGAGATGAAACACATTACAAAAGTTAATAATGAGTTTTTTCATACAGTAAGGAATTACAAGTGTGTATATTCATTTCATATTACATTTACACAAAAAATACATTTCAAAAGATAATTTTAAAAAAACCAGAGAAGGTGAGTGAATATGAAAAAACAGGGGAGGAGGCAAACARAACACATTATTTTAAAGTAGCTGTCAAAAATACAATTTTTTTTTACATTTCATGAMGGAGGAAAAGACCTCTAGGATGACCCAGTTATTTGTATGAAGGAAAAGTTTACATTTCCTTGATTCAGGGATATATAACTCATTCACAGCTTTGTGTGGTATCAGTCATAAAATCTGTGCACATAATAAAGCCAAAGAAATTTAATTAGGATTAAGCCTGGGATCTAGTTATAAACTCCTTGAAACTTGGCAAAACACTTTAGAGTTCATAAAAAATGTGCTGTAGAATTAGGATCTTCACAAGAATCTGTTAGCTGATATGTGGGACTAGATTTTATTTTTTCTTTTTAATAAACACAAGGAGACAGTTACAAGCATACAGAAGGAAGGTGTTTTGGTAAAAACATGTCCTGTCCTTGGAGCAGAGGATCTCAAATTCACTTATAAATGTTAACAATAAAAGAAAGAACTCTTAATTTCAGACATTGTTCAACTTAAAACTAGATTGCTTAAAAGTAAAGGTTTTAAAACAGGGTATATTAGGCACTCTTCTTGGTATCAAGATTCATTTCAGGCAAGAAATTTCTTACTAAACTTAAACACTACCATGTAATCAGCACTTTTCTGCACAGCTGGGGTTACATGGAAATAATGCGTTCTTTTATAAAATCATGGCCCTATATCCCATAAACTCACTTTTTTTTTTTTTTTTTTTTTTTTTTTTTTTTTTAAGTTCAGCAGCTTGTGAAAGATAGTGCTGGGGCAAAAAAAAAATCTAAGTTTCAGGGCTGTAGCAATGATTTCAGACCGTTTCTTTTCATGCTTCATGGCAAGATCCCACTGATAAACTGCTTTGCAGCACTGTGCCTCAGTTAAAAGCAGCAACAGCTTTGGTGCTACAGAGTTCCAAATTCTCTCCCCTACTCTGCCTTGATCATAGCCCCAGAAATGCAGCTTGGAATGTGATAACCGTAATGCTGTGTTTTCTTACCAGAATCAGCAGACYGTAATAGTGTTTATAAAAATGTTCTGATTTTACTGTTGATCTTAATTGAACTATTTATTCATGCAAGACTTGCTGATGTTTTCTCAAAGTCCCTTATAAGTAACATGCTCTATGCAGTTTTAATCTTAGGGTATCAACATCCACAGATACTTGAATTTGAAATGTGCAATGGTGCAGTTATTTTGTATTAGCAATTACATAGTTAAGAAGTTGAACACATCAACTCTGCATAGCAGAATTTTGAAATCAKAGTAATATACTGTGGTTTCAAACTTCCTGCTGAACCTGATTTCAAGCACAYCCATGATGGGACTTTAATCCTACTCCACAATCTACTGAGAATGAAGATCTGGTTTTTATACATTTGATATGGTGAACCAACCACACATGCTGCCTTTTGGCATTTCAAAGAAACTTTTCCGTACCTGTGAACTAAATGATGCATTTTGCCATATTTCCTAAAAAGTTTGATTAATTTGCATGGATATTGGCTGTGATGCTGGCACATGGCTATGGATGAGTAACTTAAGGCATGTTTAGGTATCTCTATGTGTAATAACATTTGTTATTGTAGTGTAAATACAGGCATAGGAAATGTGCTCTGTGTCTGCAGGCAAAACCCACCAGTTTAAAAGGATGAGAATACAACATTTACCTTCAGCAACTCTATAAATCTAATTTCCTATTAATCACTTCTATATAAAAATAGAATAGTTCTTGCCTTTGTGTTTCAGATATTTTCCACAGCTGTTGGAAAAAAAAAAAAAAAAGCCAAGCCAGCAGTCTGGCAATGGCACACTGGGAACACTGGCACATGGCACTGCTGCTGATAAAAGCCACTTTAGAGCAGTTGAATGCAGCACTGTAGCAGTGACATTTACCAGTGAAAACACTGAAAGCAGAGCTCACAGCTTCACTGGGATTAAAGGTCACTGGTGAAAGCAAAAATGAATAAAGCAGAAAACTTGCAGTTTTTCTCATAAATATATAAATATACAATTGCTGTACATCTTTTAAAGAACAAGGATATAAGAAGGACAACATAAGTCCCCCTAAACTTAATAGAAAAACTAAYTTGTGATTAACTTTGCATAGGAAACTGTCAACACCTGCTGTTCTCCTTAATGACTTCTGCAGAGATTGGCCTTTTGTCACCTGGTCAAGAGCACAAGAGCTGCCCTGCTCCTTGGGTGGAGGGTGCTGTGGGAATGCTGTTTGCTGCTGGGGGATGTGCATGTGTGACCTGAAGATTGTGCTGCCCACCAGGCACGGAAATACCTCCTGGAGTAGCTGTAGGACAYTGCTCATTCTGGTAATGCTCCCTACTCCACAGTGCTCCACAGCTGGAGATGAGTGACTGAGGGAATAGGAGAGGGTGGTGATAGACAGCTACTGAAAGAGGAAAAGGCAAGGGGAGTGACACAAAATGGGCCAAACTGGGTTAATTGCATTATATATATCTATATCTATATAAGTCCTACTGTTTAACTGCTATGCAACAACTACTTTTTAACAATGCAGGAAAAAAAACTCATTAGGTATATTCCTATACCATGGGAATAAAAAATGTTTTTGTTTGTATGTTTTTTGTTTTGATGGGGGGAGCTGGTTGTTTCTGTGGCACAAGAAGAGAGAACCTGCAATGAATTAATTTGTATTCTGCCATGAGAATTACAGCATCCTGTGATCTCACCAGCAATGGCTTGGTTTTAGTACCATATTGCTATTTCGAAAACTTCACACTAACATCCTGTAAGGTGAAGTATCTAGCTGAACATTTAATATTGGAGATGCTCTAATGATAAAATTTAGCTCCCAAAAGCATCTGTCAACAAATATCTCAAATTTTAATWGTTATGAGATTATGACCAAGATGCCGAGAGAGTCAAGAAGCATGGGTTGTACTCAGAGCTCTGCTGTGAACCCAYCACAGGATTTGGGGAACAATACTTGCTTTCTCTCACATCAGTATTTTCTGTTTTTAACAGGTGGAAAACAATAATTTACTCCTCAGAGAAGATGCATCAAAATTCTGTAAATCCTTGTCAATGAAGGTCACAAGGCATGGTGAATACTGCTTTTATTAGCACTTTTCAGTTCTGCAACACACTTCGAGAGTAAGGTAAAATGTCCATTCTCTTTTCTTTGGATTAGAATTTTTTCTTTTTAATACATTAAAATATTGCAGGCCATAGCCATTAAGAATCAATTTCTGATAGTAACTTTGATGGCAGCTAAAGTCTGGATGGCAAACAGTGAAAAATTGTTACTTTTTCCTCTAAAAGGTTTCAAGAGATGCAATGTTCATCTACACGGAGTTACTGCAGTTACAGAAATAAGATCTTTTTTAGGGAAGATAAATTTGTTTGATATACAGATAAACAAGAGAAATCTGAGAAATGAGGAGAAAAAKGTATGTTGAGAGGGAGTGTTCTTACTGAAGCTCTTGCTAGTCTAGCTCYTTAGTACGTCTGAAAATTCAAACTTAAGAAAAAATAGCTTAGAATTGTTAAATAGTTTTTAAGGCTTAAAAAAAGAAGGAACCTTTTCAACAATTCCTTATTATTGCTATTGATGGGGAGAAAGAAGAATTTCAAGTTCTGTTTGAACAACAGAAAAGTCATTAAACCACCTACTGGTTTATTCTTTTTGAAGAGTGAAGATCTTATCCAGTTCACTTTCCTCCACCATCTGCATATAAAATCAGCTAAAACTTCACACTCTGTTGTTTAAACTTACCGGTAGAATTCAAGGCAAGACAAAAAAATGCCAAAACAACTATCTGTGTAGTCTGATGTAAATCAGGTAATTAAGGTAGAACTGAATTATATCTGGGTGCACTTTTATCTTCTCCTGTCTCAATCCCCTGAATCATCAGGGGTGCAAGAAGGTGGTTACAGTGTCCTACAGAACAGATTGTGTTGGGCCTGTCAGCTGTAGCAATGCCATGAAAACCCTTCCTGCTCACCTCTGGATCTCACTGGAGCAGTACCTGTTGTTATTATCACACAATAACCAGAAAGTGAGGTGCTCCTCTAAACAAGCACAGACATGTGTGGTGCTACAGGCAGATTGCCTAACCAGGATAAATAACATCAGTGAATGCCAGAGTGGGGAAGGGAGAAGTGGAAGAGCAAGGACTTCAATTAGTACACTGCACAGCTGAGGCTCTATTCGTTCCTCAGTGTTGCTTTCATCATAGAATGAACCATCACCTTTTGTGCAGCTCTCACTTATAAAGGTTTGGGGAGTGAGAGATGAAAATCCTACATAGTGTATTTTCCCATGAGAGAAGAGCTTCTGCAAAGCCACTAGGAAGCAGATGTAAGGATTTAATGGTAACAGCATTAGGCATTGTCACTTCTGCCTTCTAGGCCTGACCCAGAGTTACCAACCCATTGTCCTCAGGGGCCAGAGAGGAGGGAAGAGGCCCAGCTGATGTGATTTGCATCAGCATCCACATACAAAGGAGGAGGGAAGCTCTCAGCTCCTGCATTTCAGCAGAGCGCGGGAGCTTAGCCATGCATGGGGCTATTTGACACTGTAAAGACTTAGCACAGCTCAGGGCTGCTTCTGGGTGTGCCTGAGGGCTTTACTGATGAAAAGAAAAGATATGTGTGGGGTCATTAAGAGTGTCAGAAGTTAGGCAACAGTTTAGTGAGGAAAGGCTGACAATCTTGATTTGGATGCCCAAAGAAACATGCAGGGTTTAATTTTTTCCTTTTTTTTTAAGCAGTGTAACCTGAGGCACCTTATTTAACTGCCCCAGTATGCCAGATGACAGGTGTGTCATTGGGATCAAAAGGTCTTTGGAGTGGTAGTTTCCACCAGCATACTTCCCAGCCTAGTTGCCAAATGCAAAAGAGAAAAATAGGATGATCAATTAAAAATAATAATAAATGACAGCTGTGAATCTGGTACTTAGGCTCAAGACCCTGAAAATGCTAGTGTTGGTTATTAAAACATTACATGAACACCCAGACTGTCAGTGGGACCAACAAAATAACCACTGAGTCTTTTKAGAAACTGTGGGAGATGGATAGAAGGTTGGTTAAAAAAGAACAAGATCACCAAAGCAGATATAGGGTGGAGAATAAATTATGTCCCTACCTACATTACTGCGGAGTTGGTATGTGGTTTATTAAGTGCTGCTAACAAAASAGTAGGAAGCAAAAGAAATTTGACCTAGTGTAGATGAAAAAGTTGGTCATAAAAGAATTTAGTAAAAGGCTTTTGCCAAGTAAATGAAAATGTAGTTACTGAACTACATCTCTAGCTACAATACTAGGTACTAGCTGGCTTCAGCAATGCCACCTTGGCTGAATGTGAACCTGACTACAGTCTCTTGGTCACCATGAGAAATACCATCCAACCTTTTAGAGCCTCTTCAGAAATAATTTTTATATCTCCTGATATAAAAAGTACTGCTTATCCTAGTAGCCTGCTTCTAATTGAAAAGAGAAATTAAATCCAAGGATTGTTAAATATACTCATGTATGTTACTAATAGTGGCCTAAAGAAGCCTTTAAATGCAAATCTCAGTTTGTCTTTGATTAGTCAGGCATTCGTTGAACTTGAAATTGAAAGCAGTGTTTTAGGTTAAGTGAACATGAYATTTGATATGTACATTAAACATCTCGTGGTTTACTGCCTAATCCCTGAAGTTGGAATAGCAAGAATGTGCATCAAATACCTGCCTGAAATACCTTCACAGTGTGAAACCTCGAGCTGTTGGCAGTCTGTATCTGCATACCAGTGGTTAGATTCAGCAAGACTGTTAYGCTCTATAACATGCATGGAAGTGTGACCAGGGTGTTCATTCGGTTCATAATGAACCTGACAGCTGATGAGTTAAGACTCTTTTACATCTAAAAATGCCTCCTTAAATCTCAGCGAAGATCTCAGTTGATCTTTCCWGCTGCTTCTGTCCTCCCTCTGCAGAGCAGTGTCTGTAGGCACGTCTGGCTGGCAGTCAGGGAAAGGGCAGAGCCACAATGCAGCTTTGAACCAGCTGACTGCAACAGCTTCAGATGTTTATCTGTGCTCAGCACAGGGGAATTCTGCACTGTGGCTGCAGGGTGGCTGTGCATAGCACACAAGGTAGGAGGGGTGAATGAGACTCCTTTTCATCAACACTGAGAAGTTAAACACAAATTTTTATGTCTTCACTTCATTTTGTTTTCAGATGAAACAATTTTATCTTTGAAAGTCTCAGTACAGTATTCTTACTCTTGCTTATTTTGCCTGTTTTGGTCCTGGAAGAAAAACAGTAGATCAGACATGCTRTCAATCTGGTCCAAAAGAATTATAAAGCCTGGGGAAAGATTCAGTGTACAAAAGAATGCAGCAGATARTCTTAATAGTGCATTATACAAAGTTCACTTGTTATGAAATGAATAGAGGAAAAAATGCCACCACCCAGATTTTGTAGCTTTCCACCAAGTTCCAATTAGAACTGTGATATAAAGGACAATAACTTACTATTTTCATAATAATTTGTGAGAGTGTTATGAACTTAAGACATTTTGGGCAGGGCACAAAGAATGGAAAATCTTAGCTCMATGAAATAATGATCTCCTTTCATTTGGCTTACTGTGTGAACRTTTCTGTAACCAGAAGCTGCCTCAGTCAGTTTAACCAGTCAGAGGAGCAGGCATGTGTGAGGGGATGTACAGTCATGGAATAGGTAAATTGCTACAAGCACAATGAGCTGTGCAGGTTTCAGGCTTCTAGAAAAATGGTTAAAAATGAGAGACTCGTTCAACTGACACTGGCGGGGAGGGAGAGACAGCAGAGCACATACTCACTGTGCAAATGTAAACTTACTACAGACTTCCCACAGGAAGGAGGCCCTAACGCRGGAGCACCGCCTTCTTAGCCTGATTTAACCCAGGTTTTTCCAAATAGCAGACATCTGAAAATATCTACTTATTTGAGCCTCTGCAGAGCTCTGAGGCAGCAGGAACAGTTGAGAAGTGTCCCCAGAAGAGGAAAAGAAGTCTGGTCCTAAGGGTCCAGGATGTGCAATCTGCTAATGAATTATGATTTATGCAGCACTTCTGCACAATTCTAGGTGCAATTTAATTACATTAAAGGATGGCAAATCACTGACACAGTTACATAAGCCATCTCCCTGAAAACAAGGACTGGATATGATACTTTACAGCTTCTGCTGTGTGGTAGGTGCACATCCTTCGTTTTCAGTTTGGACTTCAGGTATGCCAGAATGACCAGGATAATCAGATCCAGACAAAAGGCAAGATCACCTGAAAACCTAGTTGCAGGGTTGGCAAACTGGCCCAAGGACAATGGTTCTGTAAGCAGCAAGAGAACAGAAGACTAGTTTCCTTTGAACTTTTATCTACTGATTGACTTCAAGCATATTATAGGTAAGATGTAACTTTAGTTTAGTCCCACTTGTATATCAAATAATCTACGTAAGGTTCAGTAACTTTATCTTTGGAAAAAATCTCTGTGCAGCTTCTTAAATTTTCTGTACATAAGTAGGATTTGCATCTTTTTCTAGATAATAGCTCTTACAACATGTTATGTTTCTTCTTAGCCTTTCTGTCAATGAAGACAATWAAAGTCTCTCTTCTCTGACCAGCTGCCTGTTTTCATGGCAGAAATTTGCAATCTTTGAGACTGCATGCTAAATCTGGCTGCAGCTGATGAATGGTTTTAAAAGCTTTTCTGGGGAAAAGTAGGTGTAGGCAGTGTGTGCTGGCACAAGCCTTCACTTCCCTGGAATTTCAGTCCTCTGTTTAGGAAGCCTATCTATGGCAGATAGATGTTGTAAAAACTGACCTCCCCCCCATACATTCAACTGAAAACCACTGTGACAATTACATTTTTATAATTCTTGGCTATAGAGACACAAGCCAATCATCACTTCTGACATCTTAATTCTTACTTGGTTTAATATCTCTAAAGGGACTTAACCCTGCACAGTGCAGATGTTGATAATTCAGAAATGGGCCTCCTGAAGATGATCTCAAGCTAAACAACCAAGCTAACTTTTATACTTCTTAAACTCTCTGGAGGCCCACTTCAAGCGTGGGTCAAATCCTGCAAGGCAGCAAAGATTTCCTGGAAGTTGTTCAGTTCTTTCTGAACTCACTTTCTTGAAGAAGAGGTAGATGGATTGATTTCTCATGCAAAGTAAACCAAGAAGCTTTGCCAGATCAGTGTGAGATACAAAAGGGACGCAGTGCCATAAAATAATGCACATATCAAGTGCTCATAAAGTGAAGCACATACCAGGTAACTCCTGTGCAGCTGGGTTCGCTGTTTTCCCCTTTGCAGCTATTTGCACTCCACAGATAGACATRGGTTGGCATAACTAGCATATATGTTCCAAATTTTGCCTTTTCACCTAATGGCTTTGGGCTCCTTTTGCAGTACTTCTCTTGCCGTGCATTTCTTGACAACTGCAACATTCCTGTGTTTCTCTAGCTTTTGGGTGCCTAGAGAAGACTTCAGTCATTCCTTCATACACACACGTATTTCTGACACGCTTGAAAGCAATCCTAAGGATCTGGGGATCACTCATACAAACAGATGATGTAGAAGCAACTCAAAGTTGTCCTTCCCTCCTGCAGTTAAACAAAACTGGCTGTCTAGACTGAAAATGTACAGTACCCATAAGCTCTACTGTTTAAAAATATGAAGCTCTCAGCATGATGTAATACTGTGCTTGTTTCTAAACTCACTTGTTGATTTCCATGCCAAAAGTTATAGATGAGTCCTGTGAATGCCAGCATTTGTCCCAGCCTTTCTGCTTCTTTACATAACTAAGCATCACATTTTGCCAAGAGCAGAGTGAGTTTCAATTCACTGCAAACATTTTTGTCGAAAGGCAATTAAATACTAACAGTTGCTTCACATACCATGCAATCTTTTCACTGGCAATGTGAGGCATTTTAATCCCTGAATCAGTCTCGTTGGATAAGTGTTTTAAAATCTTTGCAGCTCTCTCAGTTATTATACTTCACGGAATTCTTAAACTAAGATATGCATACAAGTAATAGTATGTAAGCAGCTTTTGAGGGATATGTGATTTGCTATAATGCCAGAGATGTTCTGCCAGCTGCTAATAGCACCTGACAAAAAGTAACTGGGGTTGCATTCCCCTGCAGCTCTTCTCTAACCATGGATAAAGGCTCTTTGGATCTCGTTTTGAGTCAGGGGATCCTTTAAACACTACAAAAAGGCTTAAAGGCTTTGCTAAAATGTATCTTTAATTTCACAAGGGCAAGTTTTTTTTCAAAAATGTTAGTCTTCTGATAGCTTATCACAGTTTATCAATTCTAACACCATTTCTAGTAATTCTATGTGTAAATCTCACTGTCACTTTAAATTCCTTTGGTAAACAGAGAAAACATGGAATTAGATTAGTAGCTTCCTGCTTCCAATATTAAGCTACACAATGAAATTTTTCCAATCAATTTCTTTTGCAATAAGTAAAAAAAATAAATGTACATTAAACTAACAGGGGGGTGTAGCAACAGGATTACTAAATATGTTACTCACATTTTTTTTTCTATCTGTTCATGTAAACAAACTTGACTATTACCCCTGCCCAAATCAAAATCACTGTAGAAAGAATAGCATGCCATCTTCTCCTCCCTCCCAGTTTTATCTCCAGTTTTCAGAATAGGCTTGAAAAACAGTAACTGAAAAAAAGCTACTTGTGTTCTGCACRTTAACATTTAGTTTGAAAACTCCAGCAAGCAAGTAGTTTTCAATCTGACAGGAACTGAGCAGTACTATTGAAGCAAATGAGATCAAATTACTGCAGCCTCTCTTAACATTCAAAATATCACAAAAAATAAAAGCCTCTTTAGAATTAGTCATACAGTTTGCAGAGAAAGTCAAAAAGGGTCTCCTTATATATATCCTCTGTGGGCATATAGATGCTACTACTAAATTATGAAAAATATCTTGTAACTCCACTAGTTTTTACATGTTTCACTAAAATATTTTCAATCTCATACAATAGTAATTTGAAGTTCTGCTAAAATAATGCTTTTTTAAAAACCCTCAAGTTTAGATTACCAACTCCTTAAGATGACACCAACTGTAAAAAGAAATCAGCTGTAACCCATKTTTTTCTTACAGAATTGTAAGACAAAGCTTTGAGATCGTGCACTATCTTTTATGTTAACACAAAACTTTATTGATTGAATATCTTCATCGTAGTTCTACCATCTGACAAGTCTGAATGCTTCTGACTTGTTTAAGTGTGTGGAATATTTTTAAATAAATATAATTAGCATGAGAGTGCAGTTTTCTGAACAGCTTGAAAAAGCTACTAAAGTGCTGAAGAGTTGCTACTTCAGCAGTGATGCTTTTTGTCATTAGATGAGATAATTAATGTCGGTCAGCCAAAGACTAAATWAATATGCATTGTAGCTCAAAAGTCCATGTAAGCACAAGAACTGAATCTGTATATATTTGTGCTGGTCTGAACCTGTCTGTGCCAGACTGGTCATACCATTTTAGAAGCAAGTCCAGCCAACAGGATAACCAGGCTTTCAGGCAGAGTTTGTGCTGCTGCAATCCTGAAGAGATATTATCAGGAAGCAGCAATCTTGTTTTTGCTAGCTCTACCGGCATAACAAGGGAGTGACTCTCTGATGTTACTTGCAAACTTTGAGAGGGAAAACTGGTATTTGCTATTCTAATTCACCAGCAGTGCAACCTGTTCCCTCTTTCCTGATGTATTGCTGCTATATTTAATTCAACATTAAAAATAGTTTTCCTGTGAATTGTAAATCTAAGCATACATACAAGATGCAGTTTGCAATGTGTTGATATTCCAAGCGCTTTTATGATGCGGATTAGCRAGTTCTCATTAAATTAAAGTTTTCTTTACCTACCAAATCTGGTTTCCGTTTGTAGGTCAGAGGAAGAGAGTAAAGTATGGAGTATAGTGTTGTTACCACAGAGGAGATCCAAGACTGTCTAACCTCACGGCTTCTGGGAATGCGATCGAGGGTGAACTGGAAAAGAGCACGAGGAGCGGAGCTGTTACTTTTTTGAGAATGTCGTGGCTCCTACTTATTAAACCTGTCCGTGCCAACTTTAAAACTTTTTTTTTTTGTTTAGTTTGGAAACATTTGTGTATAAAAGTACACAGCAAAGCATAAAGCAGAGCGAATAGGAGAGCTATGTCGCTATTGTTATCCCGTCTCGGTTGTGCCGGCAGCGCTGGCCGAGGGCGGCCCCTCGTGGCATCGCCGCGCTCCGAGCCAATGCCGCCCGCAATTCCCCGAATTCCCGGGGCATTTACACGGCAGCAAACGCTGCAGCCCTCCGCAGCTAATGTAAAAGCAAATATCACCGTCCTTTAAATGAGCACTCAGTGAGGATTCAAAGGATACGCATGGTGCATATTCAAAATGCAAAATATTTGCACGAAGAAACAGGAAAGAACATCTTATCCTTAAATAAAAAATAGGTAAAGAAGTAATTTTCTCTGTTTTTTCCCTAAATGAAGAGTATTCACTCTGTGTAAAAGGTATCACATTAATAAAGTAAGGATGTTTTCTCCTGAAACCTGGAGCAGGGAGCAGTGCTTGGGCTGCCTGCCCTTCTCCCAGGTGSCTTTACACCGATGCCCAGGAGCTGCACCCAAGAATCACTGCTAGGTCAGATCACTCCCCATGACAATGACATTTCAGACTGTTTAAATGAAAGACAAATGTAGTGGCTGCAGTGCAGGGCTCAGTGATGCTGACATGTGGACAGKGGTTGTTATCTCACCTCATGTGGGACACCAGATCACTACCACTCTGCAAGAACTTACATTGGCTGTGAGAAACTCTAAATACTGAAAAGTGCCCAGTTACTTCAGAGGTACATTGCTAACTGTCATGGCTTAGTCCTGGTGATTTGTGCCCCTGAGGGATGACATTAACAAAAACTGTATGGTAATTACAAACTACAAATCTGTCTTGAATAGCAGTAAATGGGACTTTTTTTTTAATATATAAGGTGGAAAGAATAAAAAAAACCCCAGGGCTTGCAAATGCAGAAGGTTAATTTTCTTGACTGAGATCATCTTGTTTCATTGTGATAGTTTTCTTTAATACCTGTAATACTTGAAGGCATTAACAGATATTCCAAGCTGATTTCATTAATGTTTTATTTGCAGGTGTTGAAACTCTGATTGCATTACTCTGACAACRGAATATGGAAAAATAAACATGCCCCCTGCTCCCTATTCAACATGTGTCTAGTTATAACTGCCTCTGTTTCTTAAAGCTTTGGGAGAGCTCAGGTGATAAAAAGAAATGCCATAAGTAAAGTTTGGACCCTTGTGTAGTACTCAGTCCTGCAAGAAATATGGATATAATAGGGTGGTTGTAGGCAGATCAGGGTTCAGGGGAACTATTCAGATGAACCTTCACTGTAAGAATGGTGTTAAAAGAGTATTTGACAAAAAAAAAAACTGTACATGATTTATCTTCATTATTAAAAAAACCCAAATAATTTCAGCAAAACTTGGTAGGAACTCCTAACAGTATCAAAGTAGAAATTTACTTGCAGAATTGAAATAAAGATCAAGCTGGTTTTACCTATACTTTTCAAAAACATGCTGGAAACTTAGCACATCAGTATCTACATCATATTAGAACAAAGAGGCCAGAAYTATCTGGCCTGATAGCAGGACCAGAGACYTCTCATAGGAGGCATTTTTTATTTCTTTTTCAAGGGACTTAATATGTTGAAGTGCAGCATTTTTCTTCTTGTAAGCAAGATGCTCATTCTGGYTTTCTTTCCTTCTCCTGGAATAGCTGTTAGAACAGACAGATCAAAAAGAGAAATATTTTSTGTGTGTGTGTTTAATTTTCTCTTACATCACTGATTTTCTGTTACATCATTGTTGTAATTTGTCTTCCATCKGGTCCTTAGTTCTGGAAAAATCTACTTCCTTAACAGGATGAGGAAGGGAATGACCATGTGTTGAAGCATTCAGACTTCTCCCTTTCATTTAGGTAAAGCTATAAAAAACTAAGACAGAATTTTTAAAAGCTTAATGATCTCCAGTGTCCGAAATAACAAAGCACATACTGTGTGTGAGTGTGTGAAAGCACACTCTGAAAGTGAGCAAGTATGTTTTAAGCAAGTATGTTGTGATCTTTACTTTCCAAAATGTATCTTTTGTTTTCACTCTAAACACTTTTGCTCAATAGAAAGAGAATGGTCAGAGGAAAATGAGCATCTGTTATCCAGACATCAAACTCACATGCAGCCAAAAATGTTCCTCTGGCTCTCAATGCTGAAGAAACATACAACTACAGGATCTGTTACTAGTTGGAGGGGTTATAAGGGGTTCCCTTATAAAAGGGAAGCTGCTTAGCAAAAATAAGTGAACTAGAAAAACCACATAACCTGTAATACYGAAAATGCGTATCTTGGAGAAATCTAATAATTTAGGGTTGGACATTTTTCAGGKGAGTGAATACAACTGTGTGAATGGCAATTTACCAAAGATTTCTCTGAAGAGGAAATACCCCAATTCACTAAATTAAGCATTCATCCTTGTGCGCAATGAGAGCTGAAAGTTGGGATAAACAAAAATGTCATTCCTAAGTGAGCCYGTTGTTCACCTTAGCAGCAGTTGCCTTACATTAAAAGGGTTTATTCTGAAAATCATTGGTATTGAGTCCTACAGTCTTTTGTCCCAATAGTGCTACTGAAAACAATGGAAGTGCACCATATGAAATAAACACCATGGAAGTATTCAATTTACTGTGTGGGGTACTACTTGGTCAAAASGACTGAGGATTTTTGTAGTGAGAACATTCACTGCCATTGTATTTATTCCACTAACACTTTTTACAAATTTCACTGGACATCAGATCACACTTTGCATCAGCGGTTATGCTGACATAAAGTGTGTCTGTTAATCATACAGCAAACTAGTTGAAGCCAGCAAATATCCAAGAAAAAAGAAAAACAAGGTATTCCAATGATTTTTTTTTTCATGATTTTTAGGAGTTCAGCATTTGCTCCAGTCACCAGCCAGAGAACTCTGACATTCAGGGGCCTTGCATCCTTTTTAGATACATGTTTAATACTTTATTTTAAAAATACAACCAAGACATAGTCTAGAAACACACAAAGCAAATACAATTTAAATTAAGGTTTTCATAGAGAAAATATTTTTTATATAATTTATTTCCAAAAAATACTATGTGTCAGTAAGGGAAACGCCCAACTAAAAAAAAAACCCCTCTGCCATATTTTTGTATTCTTACAGCTACAAGTAACATTTCAATGGCTAGCTGATCTTTAAAATTAGAAGAGATTTACTTTCATCATGTTTTTCTTGATCAGGAGAAAGCCTTCTTTGTACAGTCCCTTTAACTACAATTACATTTTCTCATTGCTTTAAGTGGATTAACATGTTAAACAGGAGATAAAGACTGTTTTAAGATAAAGTAAGGAAGGTGGTAATGAAAACTTGTGGCAAGAACGGCATTTGCTATTTTTAGGTATATTTACTTGGCATTCTCATTGTCTCTCTAGTACACCATTAATCAGTAGTGTTTATTTAATTTAGTGTTAGAGCCAGTATGGATAGAATTGCACCCTTAGTTGAACTTTAGTGCAAGTGATCATCAATACCTAAAAAATCAAATGCACTTCTTGATCTTATAAATATCCTTCCAAAGAATCACTTCCAAATTGCCTTGAGCTAGAATGTCCTGTTAAGATAATTTTTCTTACATGAGTATATTTAACAAGGTACCTGGGACTTGGAGAATGTTTCAGCCTTTTTTTGTTCAAAAGAACGTATTTTAGCTTCACTCATCTTATCCGAGTCTGCCAAAACATAATGTCTAGGGGAGTATGACTCTGACAAACAGCTAAGCAACCTCAGGATTTCTGTTGTGTGCCCACCTGTAAAACAAAACAAACTGCAATTAGTATGAGACAAATTTWGTAATTTTCCATTTCTTCAGCTGAATCAGTCACTTTTCATTTTAAAGCTTATTAGTACTACTACTACCAGTGAGAAAATACCTCCTGAGAGTAAAGGCTTCAATCAGAGGACAGCTGAGTCTGTGTAAGTAACATGGAGAGAACTCAGCTCCCACTGAAGCTACATTGATGGACATTTTCCAGAGAAATGGGATTGAACCAGGGTCATACAGGAGCCTGACACTGGTATTTGATGTCGTGTACACAGTGCAGAACAACCGGGCAAAGAGTGACCCTGCAGTCTGTACTCAAAGGCCAGCCCGTGGTGCGATGGCCAAAATGGAGCTGGACGGGATCTGCCTCAGAGCTGTGCTGTGCAAGGACAACTGCCACTGACCCTGCCCTGTGCCCCGTGCTGGGACCTGCTGTGATCTCATAGTGACACCAGCCAGGCAGCAGGGTCCCCCTCAGCAGTGTCACCCTGCAGCCACAGCAGTGTCCCCACAGCAGTGTCACCCTGCAGCCATAGCAGTGTCCCCCTCAGCAGTGTCACCCTGCAGCCCCGGCAGTGTCCCCCACAGCAGTGTCACCCTGCAGCCACAGCAGTGTCCCCACAGCAGTGTCCCCCTCAGCAGGGTCACCCTGCAGCCATGGCAGTGTCCCCCTCAGCAGAGTCACCCTGCAGCCCCAGCAGTGTCCCCCTCAGCAGTGTCACCCTCAGCAGTGTCACCCTGCAGCCCCGGCAGTGTCCCCACAGCAGTGTCCCCACAGCAGTGTCCCCCTCAGCAGKGTCACCCTGCAGCYCCAGCAGTGTCCCCCACAGCAGTGTCCCCCACAGCAGTGTCCCCCAGCAGTGTCACCCTGCAGCCCCAGCAGTGTCCCCACAGCAGTGTCACCCTGCAGCCACAGCAGCGTATCCACTGGGTGCTGACAGAACAAACAATCCCGCCCCAGCCGCTGCTGTGATCACTGCCCTTGAACGGGCCTTCACAACCTTCTGACTGCAGGGTCACTCTGCCCAGGAGCTAAACTGGCACCMAACTGGAGAGAACGGTACTTATTGTGCTTTTTGGGAGCTGGGTAATTTTTTTTTTGGTTGTCATGAGTTTCCTGAAAAGCAGTTATAAGGATACTGTAAGAGTGGAAAGGGGAGAGAAGGAAGMTTGTGTGCTTTGGTAGAGTGGAGCTGTCACACCTTGCATCTGTTGTACCAACACACCAACATGAAACTACACCAGGACACATGTAACCTAAGCACTTACCGGATTGTTACTTTGCACTCCACTGGAAGTTGCACACCAAAATAGTAAATTAAATGTATTCCTACTCCCTCCTGCTGCCACTGGGCTCCCAAGAGACCTTCCCTACGCAGGTTAAGCACTCGTAGCTGGAGAACAACTGACAAGCAAGGAGAGCTATGTTGCAGCATTGCACTAGACTTTCCCACCTTTCCATATAATTTCATGCTGTATTTTTCAAATATATCTGGAGATATTTTCTCCCGAGAGGTGTTTGTTGAAGGTTTCACAAATTTTCATGCAATCATCTGAGCACTCACAGAAGAACAGAAGATGTCTACTTAAAAGTCTCAAAGAATAGGCTTGAATGTTACACGAACCTTAACTGACATGTGATTTCACCTGGTAAGCTAATGTATAGTGGAAGTATTCTTTTAATATGGACAAACTAGATTCCAAAGCACTGAAGGAAAATACACATATTTCCAGTCGTAGCAGAAGTAAATATGACCTGAAGAATTACAGAACTGCCAGTCAAACTCAGATTGCAGAAAGATCTCGGAATTATTACTCAATTAGTTGGTGTGTAAAAATCAAAGGGATACAGAGGTGCTGAAATCACAGCTGGCCTGTATTTGTCAACTGCAAATTTTCAAGTAATTTTTTTTTAGTAAATTAACTGTCCTTCAGCTCTGTGGAGGTAACAAGGAGTAGCAGATGTGTGTACCCTTTAGCGTAGGGTGACATTCWTGCCTCTGACGGATCCACGCGCGACTCTTGTAAGGAAATCAAAACAACGTGGCTTGGGTAAATTGCAAAACGCCACGTCTGTAAGGGGCGTGCCAATGTTTGGAAAACTGTGCCCTGCATCGCCATCAGTAATTCTCAGTCAGAAGAGCGAGCAGCTGCACAGGTCAGTCCTGCACCAGTTTATCGATGCCTTCGTGCGTGACTTTGGTAAAGTGCTGTCGGTGGGAAAGGCTCTGAAACTGAACTGCCTGACAAAAACACGGACCAAAATAACCAAGATGAATATGTAGCGTAACAATAACTCAAATCGAGAACCAAAACACCCAAAGACAGGCGGCAGCCCCGAGGGCATCGGCCCGACCCGGGGGGACCGCGGGAGCTGCCGTGGCGGGCCACCTGCCCCTGGCACACGCCACCGCGACTACAACTCCCGGCATGCACCACGGCATACTGCCGATGCCGCGCTTGCTCCGCGCCGCGCAGCATGCCGGGACTCGTAGTTCCGGGACCCGGAGTGGAAGCTTTGCGGCGYCACCCGTGCCCGCCGGTGGCAACCCCCACTCACCGGAGCCGGCCACCACCAGGAGACTAAACGGAGGCGTCCGCCGGTCCTGGCGCCTCCTATTCAGGAGCACCAGCGGGATGAGCAATAAGGAGAGGAGGAGGAGCAGGAGGACGACGACGGGCAGCTCCTCCATGCGCGGCCGCGGCCGCCCCGCGCGGAAGCGGCAGTGGCACCTCCCCCGTACGGCGGCCGGCGCGGTTCAAACCTCCGCGCGCTCTGAGCGCGGTGGCGGCTCTGGGGGTCTCGGGGACAGCGGGCGGGGCTCGGCGGGCCCGGGGCGCGGGGGTGCGGCGTGAGGGGATGCGGCGTGAGGGGATGCGGGTGTGCCCGCCCGGTGCTCCCGGTGTGCCCGCCCGGTGCTCCCGGTGTGCCCGCCCTGTGCTCCCCGCGCCTCCGAGCCCGCAGCCGGCGTCCCGGGGCTCCCCGTACGCACAGGGTGAACGAGAGCCGGGGCGTTGAGGGCTCGCAGGCCGAGCCTGCCCGCCCTGCTGGGGCTGCAGGGGCTGCAGGRGCKGGGMGGGACCTGCCTGCTTTGGCACAGGCCGCAGCAGCAGCCGCAGGCTCCGCTGGCACGCACAGGTTCCTGCGGGAGCTTGGGAGTGCCCACATGGTGCTGGTGCAGGTATGTGTGCTTAATGGGACTGGAATGTTACACAGCCGACAGTAATGCATAAAATAAAGAATATCACCATTTCACTGCCTGTCGTGGTTCTTGTTTTCATTCATTGTAATACTTAAGCTTTTTTATTTCAGTAAGAAGCGTGGAGCGACAGATCAGCACTCTTTCTGCCTCCGTCAGCACCCGGTCTTTATTGGGAGATAGCGATGATTCAGCCATTGGACTAATCTCAGATGAGACGTGTGTTTGCTAGAAAGAGTAAGATATTGCATTTTATGATTAGGAAAGAGTTTGTTCATCATTGTCCCTAAATTATCTACCAGGGAGCAAGGCCCTCCACTTGGCCAGTGACTCAGGAGCAATGAACTCTGGAGCTTTATGGAGAGGTTTGACGCTACTGCTTTTATGGGGTGAGTTGTCAAACATGAAACGTGACAGCTGTGCACTTGTACCTCAAGTGCACAAACACAATAGATCAAACACATTGCAATTCTGCGTCTGCCTGCCCTGGTTTCTCTGGGTGGTGTTTTTCCTCTTACTCATTCTGAACAAATTGGATTTTTTGTATCCTTCCTAGCCTTGGAAGCTGAATGTTTCTTTCTCATTTTTTTAAAAAAATGTGCCAGTTGTGGATTCCAATCGTTATTGCATACCATGCAAGTAAAAGATACATGCTGCAGCAATCCTTTGAATCTTTCTGATCCATGCTTCACAGCTTTACAGATTATGTTTTTTTCTTACATCAGTGTAACATATAATTTTGCAGTTGTTTTAAGCAGAGACTATTAAAAACAGTATTACTATGGTAAGCTTGTCTTCCACCCAAGTGAGTAACCTCCCAAAAAGCAGCTCACTGCCTAGTCATTGTTGACATTTGGAAGCAATAAGGTTTTCATTAAAAG